TACGTTAGTACGACGTACGACGTACGTAGTAACGTAACGTTTAAACGTTAAACGTAACGTACGTGTACGACGTAACTACTATACACGAGTACGTATATATATATATATATATATATATATATATATAGAGAGAGAGAGAGAGAGACGCAGATGAGTGAGGGAATAGAGAAGCGTGCGGGCATGAGAAAAAAAGGGTGAAAACTTAGAGAGAGTTTTGGGGAGAAATTTGGGGCTTTTGCGACATAACCCTAGCACCACCATGTGGGCTCATCTTAGGCCATTTTTTCCGATATTTATTCGTGGCTGCGGTGAATCAAAGAAAAGAATCGATTGTAAGTAGTTTTATGGTAGGAAGTTCTTTGTTTGAGCATTCCTTGAGATTGTATGATGTAACTCTACATAATCCCAATCTTGTAAGTTTTTTTCTTGATAGTGAATACACATTTACCGTCTTGCCCATGGACGTAGCCTATTTTGGGTGAACCACATATATGTGTGTCCCTCTCTAATTTCATTTGTGTTGTGCTTTGATGATTTCTTATATTGCTTGTTTTATTGTTCTTATATTTTTCCCAATTATATTACACTTGTTATTGTATCTTGGTCATGTTATTTGAGTGTTGAAAACATTGTGGTGTAGTTCTCACTACATCTAGTGGGATTTTGAGATATCTTGATTTGTTCAAAAGGGGTGATTGGTTTATCCTGATTAAACAACATGATCCGGCAGGACTACCTCAGTAGAGTGGTCCATAGGACTACCAAATCATTGTGGTCTCAGTTGACCACCTTGGCACCATGGTCAGTGAAGACCTCCTATTATAGTGGTCTTGGGGTATAATCTATCTGCAATGGTCCTGCAGAGGGTATTGGAGGCTAGTCCAGCTTACCACTAAGATGGACAATGCAGTCTAGCGTTTATCTAGGCCCTTCTAAAGCATGTTTTTTTTTCTGCAAAAGTGTGTAAAAAAGGCAGTAAAAAGCCCAAGAACTCTAAAAATTTATGGGTTATAGGTTTATCTCATACTTTTCTGAAACCATTTAGTTCTTGGGGTTAAAATATTTAAAAGGATAAAAATAAATCATGCAGTGTACAAAGTAGGGCATTAAGAGTACTTTGAACCATGCACGACAGTTAGATCTGAGAGCGAAACTCAACAAAGAAGCTTTGAGCCATGGACATTCATTAAATTCAATCGTGAACCTCCATTGAGTTGCTCTGGTACCCATGTAAAGAAAACCATTGGTGTCTCAATGCGGTGGAAATGATAAAAAAAACTCAAACATGCAAGGATTGAATGGTGGCACATGCAAGGATTGAATGGAGGCTACGTATCTCTTCCAAATCTGATGTCCCTTATTAGTTTTTTTTGTTCCTTTTGGAGATTAAGAATTTGATGTAGCCCCCTTAGGCCTCCCTACTTGATTACTAGAACTAAAAAGATGGTTCACAACGAAAATCTCGAGCTTTAATGGATGACTTAAGAGTTCTCACCTTTGCCAGTAAGGGGATATGTTTCTAGGGTTTTTTGGTAACATCTCTATTTCTAGCATCTCTTGGTAACATTTCCTTTCAGGATAAAGGTAAAAAGGGGCATGAGAGGTTACGTGTAACCTACCCATTTCTCTGTATAACCCCTTTTATTAAAGAGGTTCCCTCATAGGAAAAGAGCCCAGGCTTAATTGGTTAGCTTTTGACGATTGCAACACTACATCCTACGCTCAATTCCTACCAGCAATTAACCATAAGTGGTTAACCACATCAAATTGGATAAGCTTTCAATGAACAAACCCGGTCCAAAACGATTTTCTCGTACAATCACCCCATAACAATTAATCTAATACCATGGGTTCCACCCATCCACTAGGGTCGAATCAAAGTCCAACAATTCTCTAACAGAATGGGTAACGTACACAAAACTCCCATTCCACTGGATATACATGCAGTATAAAGCAATATAGAAACTTATATATAGTTCAAGTGCTGCAAGCATGAAATAAAATGAGAATGGGGTTGGGGTTGTGGTGGTAGCACCACTTGTGCCCCAACTAAAGTCTAGGTTTCCAGTATCACTTAACACATTAAAAAGCCACTAATGATTTTAAAAATTGGTAGGGGCTCGTCATCCCACTGAATTACCTAAAAAAAAAAAAAATGAAATAATATGTTCTATATTCTCGTAATTTTTTTCCTAGTGAAACTAAACCCATACATTTCTCTCGTAAGCTAGCAATTTCAAACACAAGCAACCACTTGGATAGAATGGGTATCTTTTTTTTTTTTTGTTTCCCCAAAGCGCCATCACCTTAAGAAACACTCTTGAGTACCAAGAAAAATAAAGATCGGGTAAAATTGGCATAAGGAAATGTGGATTTAAAAAATATCAGCAAGTGGCAGCATATAAAGGCTTTCTTTGTTATAGGATTCTAGGTGCACAAGCCTCTATAAGTTGAGCAACCTAAGCATAGTACAAAGAGGGAAAGAAAAAACAAAAGAGGACGTGTGTTTTAGTGAAATTTTGCTTTAGAAATCACCCAACAACGTGCAACTTAAATTTCAATTTGAAAAAGCTTGGGTGTTGTGCACCATATTCACCTAGGGGAATCCACTGCAATGGCTTTACACCTTGTTTCAGAAGCAACCACACCACCAAATGAAATGGAACAAGAGGCGTGATTAGACTGCAAAAATGTTCACATAAGTAACTGTTAGTTAAATTACAATTATCCATGCCCCAAATTCGAATCTCATTAGTGGAAAAGATAAATTAAATTGAAACCGGTAAACGGGTAGGGGCTTGTCTTTCCCCACTAAATTACCCCAATAAAATGAGGAAAAAAAACATGTTTATACGCAAAATATGAGATGAAAATCTCAAAGCTCGCTTTCAGATTTGCAGGTAAACTTATTATAAAGTAAGAAAAACGATTAGTAATCGAAGTATTTACTTTGCGAGAAGGCGATTTTTTTAAATCTCAAGCCAAATTATTGTTCAATGGGATCAATTTTATGATCTCATCATCTATGGATTGCCAGTCGTACTCGCTAGATCTCATCTAAAGTAGATATAAAATCGATAGATTAATATTGATCCAAATAAAATGAAAAAATAAATAATAAATTGAAAGATAATGAAAAAGGGTCCGGTTATGGTGTGTAAGGGGGGATGCACCTATAGTTGTGCGTCCCCTGGATGCTACATGGTCCGTTAAATAGATGGTCCAGATCGCGCCTACAGATCGAGGTGGGGACAACAAGAAACACAAGGTCTCAATTGTGCTTATTTTTGGAAGCATTTTCTATTGGAACGCCTCTTTTTCTCTATAAACCCCTAACCTTCTTTTCCCCTCCGAAATTGAAGAACAACATAAGTCCCCTTTCCCTCTCTGCAGTAAAAAAAAAAAGTTTCTCAAATATATTGCCAATAGGCCTTTCTTCTTGTTAGATTGAAGTTATGGTGCATTTACAAAAAAGCGGTTTACTTTTTCTTGAAAAAAATATTTTATTGTATAATTTAATCAACAAGAAAGACAAAGTTCAAATGTTTACAAAAATCAATGATATTTGAAGCTAGTGTTATGAAACTTTATTTGTAACGCATTTTTGTCATTTAGTAACAATTTCAATTTTACTGCTTCTGAAGATGACAAAAATGCCCTTTTTCTTTTAGTGATATTTGTACAAACATCCTTACTTGATCATCAAGATATCACAAAAAGTAATTTTTTTTAAAAAAAACGACATAATTAGTAAATCCACACTTTTCAAGTTACTCTAACATTAACTTTTATAATTTTGTAATTTAAAGGGTTGTGAATTGTATATGGAGCAACTTTAAATGAACCAAAAATTCTTTAAAGAAATCAAAGGGAAAAAAAAAGAAGAGAAATAGGTAAATAAGCGAAAAGCAAAAAAGAAAATGTAGCTCTCAAAGAGCATTTCTCATGGACAAAAAGTCATTGAGAAGCAAGAACCGCCAAACAAAAGGTGAATAGTCGCTTATGATATTTTAAAAGGACCATAGAGCTGTAGACACTCATTTTTTTTGAACCTAGTAGATTTCAATCATTTTTCCAATCTTAGAATTACACTACTTAAAATATCCCCGAACCATCCATCGAGCACCATAGTCCATAGTCCTTATCCTATGATCCCCAATCCTTAAAGGCTTACCCATTTTGGAAATAATAAAAATAAGCTAAAAATCACATTTTATCCTGAAAATTAGAAGGTGATCATAAAAAAAATGCATGATTGATCGCCCGGATCGAAATCCCATATTTTCATGAGATTCGAGTTGTGCGACACAAAGTGTTGCCTAGATCCGTTGACAAAACAAAGGGACACACTTTATGTTGCCAATATAATTTTGAAAAATTCATCGAATCTGGTCCAATTTTGGCTCTACAACTCAATGTGTGTTTGCTTGGCCCCGTTCTGATCTGAGTGACACACTTTGTGTCACACAGCCTTCTAACCATCAAACTAGAGATTCGAGTTGGCAAATACGCAAAATATAAAAAATAATGTGTGCCAACCATTTAAGGTCTATAAAAATACTTGTGCACAACCTTTTAATGGTTGGAGAGAAAAATCCCTAGAGGCTAGATGAAACCCTAAACCTAGACTCCTAGGATCATTAACCCATATTTTATGAAACATATCTTCAAGATTCAACCCCTAGGTGAAATTCGTAACCATAATTCAAACAAGCCAAGTCTTGGTTAATTCTGAAGAGAAAAAGGAGAGCGCAAACTTAACTGCGGTCCTAATACGTGTGAGGCTTCATAGCTTCCAGTGTCCCGGGCCAGCTGGCCCTGTCAAGGAAGTCCCTTTTTACCATTTCATTTTATTTCAATTATTTTTATTAGATCTGAATTAATTTGATAGCATTTTCTTCAAGTATTTTATGCAAAGATCAATGCCGGCTCTACCAATGATCTAATGAGGGATCTATTCACTTTTGAATAGATCAGCCCCAAGTTTATAATTCGATTAATCCCACTTCTCTATCATTTATAAAATAACGAGTTTGTAGTACCAGATCTGGGGATCTTTATTTGAAGGTCTCTCTGATTTGCGCTGGAAACAAGAGCATCACAACGTTTTCCATCAAACCCTGCTCATGTGACCAACCATTCGTGTTTTAATCTTTGTAAAAAAATTACCCATTCTCTAGGGAATCAAACAGGACCTTTATGGTACTTACTACAATCTCAAAAGGAATGTAGCCTAATTTGGATGAGGTTTATGCGTTATGGAACTTGAACTTAAAGGGGACATTTGGGGTGTCAAATTAGCATTTAAGTAGTTCTTTAAAGGATACCGGATAAAAATAGGTATGGATATCTGGTTTCCAATCATACTACATAAACATTAACACAAATATCCATGGTAAAATATTGTAATATAAAAATATGCATAGATCTTATAAATAATGCCAAAATAAAACAATAAATATAAAATAGTAAGAATAACAAACGACATGAAATTTTTCATGTAACACATATAGACAAACTCTTATATCCATGGTAAAATATCGTAAAGGGAAAAGTTTATATAGAGCCTAGGCTCTAAACGATCAAATTGGAGCCTACCTTAATACTTTCATTAGAAGAGGTTGTTTTGATGCCCAAATATCATCAACTTGATCATCTCGACATCAATATGCAAGGACATAAAAAAAAAATGGATTTCAAGTTTTAGAAATAGTGCATCTTGTAACGCATTTTTAGATCGTCAATTTTCAAGATTTTTAAGTTTTCATAGATCTGCTCGATCTACACTGATTTTGAAGATTTAAATTTTATAACTAAAGATAAGAAAATAATTTAAGGCTATCACAAAACTTTCAAACATTGAAACCATATTTCTCGACACTATTTGAAGGTGGGGGCCAAATTTGATTGTTTAAAGCCTCTGGTCCGTACAAACCACACCCTATTGTAAATAGAGAAATATGCGTAGCTCTTATAAATAAAGCAATAAATATAAAAGAATAATAATAACAAACCAAATGAAATTTCTCATGTAACACATGATAGACAAACTTTTAACCTTCAAGTTGTGGAATGGTATGTGGAATAAGAGAACTATCTTGTGCTTTAACATGCAACAATATCCAAAAGCACTCGTATATAATCAAAGTTCATGAAGAATAGCCTTTCATACAGAATCACACAAAATATATGAACTACGAAACCACTTGACTTTTGGTTTCTACTAAAAATAACTCCTTATATTTATCGAGAGAAATTTACTTAGGGACCCGAATTAACTCCTTGCATTGAAGAAAGAATTTACATATTTTGAATTTTCAGGGCGTGGTCCAAAGCTTTTAAGTTTATTTTTGTTTCTATTTTAACCCGGTGCTGGCAACTTTAGTTTGTTTGAACAAGACGAAAGTTCAACTTTTGAATCCCTCAAATAAAACTAAGTCTTTGACTAGTTAGAAAGTTCAAATACTTGTGTTTTAGTCATTTTTGGGGTCAAAAAGTTAGCATTTTAAATCAAGGGGATAAAATGGAAATAAAAAATCTAAAAACTTTTAGATCGTATAATAAAATATCTTAAATTATATTCCAACCTTTATTAATGAAACTTATTTTGGGTCTCAGCATAAATTTCCCCACATTAATAAGGCACCAAAAATGAAAATAATTTTTCATTCGACTCCCGGGCATTTTTCATGCGACTCCGATTAATCAAGCTCACACTTCAATCCCCACTGCATATCAGCTTTAGCCTCAGCTGACTCTCCTATAATAAACAGAATGAAAAGAATATTGGAAAAAAAAGTGGCAATAAAGTAAACTATTATTCTTTTGAGTAATTAAACATAACTTTTTTTAAGGGATATTTAAAATACATCCCTGAAAGTTGCTATTTTGTAAATATTTAAATTTCAGCACTTTGGTTTTTGGGCTTAATTTTTAACCCAGTTCTATACTTTGAGTTTCGAAAATGTTTGATTTTATAAGTATACAAATTTCAGCTCTCTAAGTACCGAATTAATTTTTGGGCCTTATTTTTAACCCACTTCAGTACTTTGAGTACCAAAGATGTTTAATTTTTGCAAACATATAATTTTGGTACTTAAGAGTGCTCAACAAATGAAAATTTCGGAAAAAAAGTAAAAAGAAATGACGAAAAAGGTGAAAAATTGGACACCCCCATAAATTAGCAACTTCCAAGGATATTTTTATCACAACAATAACCCATGAAATCTACCAGGCTAAATCAAGGGTGGAAAGGAGGAGAGCATATTACATTGAGAGACAAGGGAGAAGGCGGCAATTTAAGAAGCTTAGTCGAAATCATTGGCAAAACTGAGCTCATGGGCAACACAGAAAGAGCCATCTTCCCAATCTTCTTCCCCAAAAGCCTTTCTTCAATAAACTCTACAAATTCGTTGCTCCTCCTCTTTATAAAAGTGAAGCTCAACCAACAAGAGTGATGTTGCTCAGCCAATCTGGTGTAATCTCCCTTTTTTGAAAGTCATCCAACCCTCTGATTTCTTAGAATATATTGGTATAGAATACACTCAAGATGGAAAAGGATCGATAATTATGGAAAAGATTGGATTAAAATATGTGCAATATAAAAAGGGGTCAATAATTATGCAAAAGATTGAACTACATTCAGATAGAGATGGGTGAACAAATGTGGAAAAGACTGAACTAATTAAATTTGTGGTCCCATTGTATATAAGATGGAAACGTGATGAATAAATGTACTTACAGGGGGTCCCATTGCCTAATTCAATTTGGAGGAGCTCTTTGTCTTCTCTGTTTGAGCACAATGATTGCATCACCTGATAAACCTCGGATTTTAAGGGGAGATCCCTGTGGACACCAATTTGGAAGGGGTGCAGTTTGTATAGAGACAAGGCTCTAAACAATCAAAGTAGAACGCACTTTCAAATAGTGTCAAGAAATGTGATTTCAATACTAGAAATTTTTATAATAGCTTTAAAATATATTTTCATCTCTAATTATAAAATTTAAGTTTAAAAAATAGTGTAGATCAAACAAATCTATAAAACTTTGAAAATCTTAAAAATTGATGGTCCAAAAATGCATTACAAGATGCACTATTTTCAAAACTTGAAATCCATTTTTTCCTCATGTCCATGTATCTTGATGTCAAGATGATAGATTTGATGATATCTGGGCATCAAAACAACCTCTTTTAGTGAAATTTTTGATATGCGCTTTAATTTGATTGTTTAGATCCTCAGCTCTATATAAACTTTTTATATTTGAAAATGATTTTTCCATAATGGAGCATGGATTGCTCAAATGGAGTCTCACTTTTTTGAGATGAGAAGTTTATATGCAACACTGTTATCATACTTATCCGATGCCACACACAATCGGCTGAGGTGCGGCCTTGGTTGAGTAATGCAGCTTTGCCCTAAAGGTGAGGCTCTAAAGGGGAGGCGAGTTTTTATCGAGTACAGTGTAAATCAAAATTTTATTTATGTCTTTTTTCGGTTAAAAAGCTGCACATACTTTCTTATTGTATTTTTCCCGTTAAAAAGCTGTACATAGTTTCTTTTGGATAAAGCTCACGCATATTCAATCCTACTACAAGTTTCCAAATCCGTGCAAATCCCTGCAGCTCTCATTTTTTTTATTTACTAAAAAAGCACAATACAAGCCACGTGCAAAATACAAGAGGCGTGTTTAAAAAAGAACAATGCAAGAGACGTGTTAGAATGGAAAAATACAAGATGTGTTAAAAAAGCAAAATACAAGAGACATGTTAAAAAAGCAAACTACAACGGTTTGAACTCCCGCAGCCCTCTTTTTTTATTGTGTTAAAAAAACAAAATACAAGAGCATAACATAAAGATTAAAAAAACAAAATACAAGAGCTTAAAAAAAAATGGACTCAAAGGAATCGAACCCAAGATCCCTCGTGAACACACAAAGGCGGCCAATCTATCCACTACGTCATTCAATAATTGAAGTCAATTATGGGCAGATTATAATTATATCTATTCTACCCATTTTTTTTAAATAGGTCTGAACTCGAGCAAGTTACTGGAACTCACCCAAAAAACTTGCCTCAGCCAAGGTTTGTATACCTTGGCCGAGTTGTGTTCAAAACATTGATATGCAGAAACAACGTGCTGAGATCCCTAGGGCAAAGGGAGTCTCCCCTTGGCTTAGATGAGTTACTCAACTGATCAAGTTATGCCCTAGGTAAAAAAAAAACAAAGGCGCTACATAAATTTCGAAAAATAAGAAAAGTCTCAAAAAACAGAAAAACAGTTTATAAAAGTAAAATAAAACCAAAATGAGCTTTAAATAACTAAAATAAGCTCAAAAAGTTGAGAAAAATGTATTTTAGAAAAAAAGAACTGATTTATACTTTGGGACATTTTACAAAGACTAAAAAATAAAATATAAAAATAGAGATTCTGATGAAAAAGATTTACTATCTTTGACAAAAACATCCGAATACAAAATAAATTATAGTGCAGTCTCACATGTTTTTTTACATTTGTTTTGAATTATTTGATGAGCTGTGAGTGGGATGATCACATGTAGTGCTGCATGAAACAAACAAGAGGAGAGGTACGACGCACTATAAAGAACAGATGTGCTGCTTTCTCTTTATATCTCCAACAAATATATTGTAGTGTTGCATCAAACAAACAACAAGAGAATGACAAGTTGATTTCTGCCTAATATTTGTCCCTCAAAAGCATCTCTCTAGGAACTCCCAAAGCACAAATTTATGCCCTTCGGGAGAAATCTAATTTACCCGAATTCAGCTGAAGCCGAGTCTGGGCAAGGTGAGTTCCTGAAGAATTAAATGTACAACTTGCCGAGCACCAATAAGTACTCAAAAGATATATAAATAAAGGGATTGTATCTAATGAGACCATCTATTTTTGGTACAGGTTGTTGGATCTTGATTGGGTGAAATGGGGGAATAAAATGATACAATTTACAAAAATAGGATCTCGAACTCTTCTTATTTTCGAGCATGTAGGAGTGCTATATCAAGACAATATTTGTCCCCATTCAATAAATTATTTGATATATATATATATATATATATATAAGAAGGTAATCGTCTCAGATATAGTAACAGAGATGTCTT